GCTTCTTCATCGTGTCGTACAAGTACACGTGCAGGAAAAAGCCCTTCAAGGTCTCAACATAACCTAGCTCGCTCCCTTTGGCTGTGACTTCCTTGGGTCGTGGCCCTCTTTTCACGCAAGGCTTTAGTTTTCCCTTGTTTTGGGCCAAGGCTTGACCCATCTCTTCTTAGACAAGTCTCTAAGCCTAAGGGTTTCTCCTTAGGCCTTAAATTCACTCTCCTGCGTGTTATTCAGCTTGTTTTATTAATGTCACCATTTAGCAAAGTGTCTAGATTTTTACTATCTTATCCAAGATAATTCAATTAAAAAAATAAAATATACCCAAAATTACTTTCCTCTTTGATGTGGACTTGATGAGATTCCTTGCAGGCAACTTCCATTTGAGGCAACTTCTCAACGTGCTTTTGCGGCAAGCTACTAAGTAATTGCTTACAACCTCTTACCATATACCCACAAGTGTTCGGATTACAAAAATCTTCCACTATATGAGATTCCCACTTCTCACAATGACCTTTCTCTACTGCGGTCACATCAGAGGTGGTGAGAGAAAAGTAGTACTAAAAGATGGCAGTGTATGTTCATTAGAGGAAAATGGAGAAAAATGTAATATCTTGTTCGTATTTTGCAACATGGCATCATTAATAACTGGAAATGGGATCACAAGGGAGTCATTTGTGGTGGGTGTATATTTGAAACATCATGAAAATGAAATATATCTTTGTAGAAAGAACATCACAAAGACAAAATATAATTAAGAGATAAGATCATTATAACTCTTTTAACCATATGAATACCTAACAAACACAATGTGACGTGCTTGAAATTTATCATCAATGTTATTTTGAGTGGCATATATACCAAAGATAATAAAAAACTTTTAAGTGGAAGTAAGAAAGGACGACGAAAAAATGATATCACAAAAGATAATTTACCATCTAAAAGCAGAATGGGAGTTTAATTCATTAAATACATTATAGCAAAAATGTTTTCTCCCTATAATGAAATTACAAGCTTTCTTGAAATCATAGAGTTTGGTTTTATAACTCCATTTTATTAATGCCAACACATAAAGTTTGATATAAAATGCCATGAGAATGAAAAAATTGTTGTAACAAAGAAGAAGTAAATTTAGAATCATTATCATATCTCACTTTCTTAACACTTGTATACCAAATTGATTCTGAACCATGAGGCAATAATTTGTTAAGTGGTAATAGATATCATATTTGTAATGTATAAGACACACCGAAGTAGCACATGAAATATTATCAGCAATGGTGAGGAAATAAAAGGCACCAAAATTAATTGGAACATTATAACCACCTTAAATATTATAATAATTAAACTAAAACAAGCATCAACATGTGTTTTATTAAAGAATTTCTTATTAATTTTGAATGTTGACAAATATCACAATAGTTTTATATATCACTAGATTTTAAACAAAAATAAGAAGGTAAACAAAACAAGTGATGAAATGAGGCATGACTTAGTCATCAATGTGATAGTTACGTAGGGTTAGTGCTCCAACCATAAGCAATAAAGATGTGTATGTTAGCCTTCAAGTAATTAATCTCATCTCTCATTTCAACCTTACCGATCAACTTCAATGTTCTGAGGTCCTAGATTACACTAAATTTGGGAAATAAGGTTATAACATAACTAAATTATTTACTAAATTTACTAGTAGATAATAAACAGTAGTTGAACTCAAGTATATGTAAAATATCTTTAACAATGACGTTGGGAGACACCGTAATATGACCAATATAGGAAACTAAAATAAAAGACCCATTAGGCAGTTGAACATGTAAAAGGTGCATGGAATGGAATGAATGAACTTAGGTGAGAAGATATGATATGATTAGATGCATAACTATCAATTATCCATTAAAAATCATGATTTTCATTTGAAAATTTTTTAATATTAATGTGAACTTGACCATCTTGACCAAGGTTTAGAAAGGATATAAGTTGTTGGCATTATTATGGTGTGAGCACAAATGGCTATTGTAATTGCATATTGTCATTAATGAGTGACCAATAAATGCACAATGGATGATTTGTGCATTATTGGCTTGAATCACATTGTTGGTAACTAGAGGAGTATCACTAAAATGAGATGTTTATCCAAGATGATCATATCTTTCCCACACTTGCCAATTAGCAAGATAGCCAATAAGTTCATAACAGTTAGGTTTGAGATTACTTGGTTTATGGAAATATGCATAACATTCTTTGGATTTGAAACATGTGTCAATATTATTTTTGACAAGATGTTTAATAGAAGAACACAATACTTGTTGTTTTTCTTCTTAATTGATCAAGGTATATGTAAGAAAGAGAAGATAAAGGTCACTGCATAAAATTCAAGAACATACCATATGGAAGGCATCATTAAGTCTATGTAAAAAATTGTGCATCTTTTCTTGTTCATTTTCAAGGAGAAATTCATTAGCAGGATCGCATGTATAATTAGGAACCTTAGAATAAGCACTCAGTTCATCTTAAACTCCTTTTAACTTGGAATTAATAATTGGCAACAAAAGAATTTTCATGTTGTAGAGGGATAATGTCAGTTTCAATTGTTGAATACGCGACCCATTTTATAGGTCATCTTCGTATAGGCTACACTTTTTGTAATACTCTAATAAGGGAATTATGAAGTTGTGATATAACCATGAAATTGCATTTCTTCTAGTCATGAGTATCTATTGAGTTTGATAAAGGTTTGGGTAAAGAACCACCAACAAAACAAATTTTGTTTTTTGTACGAAGAACATTAATAATAGCTCTTCTATAAGTGAGATAATTATCTCCATTAAGAGGATCGAAACAAGAATAACTCTTAGATGATCAGGACAGTGTTGAATATTGAGAGTTGTTTATATTATTATTATTATTGGGAATTTCAGTGATAGAGTTACAGCCAAAGATTTCTTTATCTATGTCAGTTAGGTATTGACGAGAAGAAAATTGAGATTAATACTCTGAGGCTATGTAAATAATGTACTAACTCATCCATTAAGTTGATTTAATATAAACATATATACACAATACGAGGAATAAATGGCTAAGAACTAGTTTAGGAAATCTACTAAAATTATTTTTAATTAAATCTATTGAAATGGGCATATTACTAAAATCACATCTTAATACAGATTGCTAAAATTATGCTTTAATATTTATGTTTTATATTAGCTAGAAGAATTATACATAAACTAGAGTTAATGACTAATTTTTTGAATTGAAAAAACACGAATTTCATCAAGGTGAATAGATTTTAATTGTGTTGGAAGGTAAGTTAGGAAATTATTATATTATTAACTAATTATTGGTAGGAGCAAAAGCAATCCTTCAATTCAAATTGTCATTTAGAGGTAAGAAGTTAACTCTAATTATTCCTTTTCAATTAACAGCAATTTCTCATCCAAATCGCATCATTAATTAAACAGCATATATATATATATATATATATAAGACAATATTTTTTTTTTAATTGATTTGAATTTCTTGTTAAAAGAGGTAATTTCTTGTTAGAAGTTGTATTAAAATAAAATATAAAAAAAATGTATGAGTATTTTGCTTCAAGATGCTTGGGAAGAGTCCGTGGCCGGGCATCCAGAAGGATGATTCTGTGAACTATTTATTTTTAATAAATGCGCATTTTAAAATCTAGTGATAAAATTTTAATTTTAATTTGCTGTAATAATTAATACCGAAAATAGAAAATGGTTTAAAAAATTGAGTAAAAGTAATATCTTAATTTTATGTCCAATTTAAGTTAACTATTTTTGTAATTCATCTTTTAATAAATAGAGATACTAATGGTTCATTGTAGAATTGTTAGTGATGCATTAAGTTCATTTTTATTCTGCAGTAATGATAAATTAATATTTTTATTTATTAAGAGAAAAATTATAAAAATATCTTATTTAAAACATCATTTTTATTCAAATTTATATATATATATATATATATTTATCATATAGAATTAAAACTTGAACAAAAATCAATCTAAAATTAAATCCCAATATTTAATTTCAGTCACTGCAATTTTTATCAACCAGGTAATATAAATTAGTTATTAATTTCTTCTTCTTTTTTTTTTCGAGAAAAACTTTTACATACCTACTACCTTTCTTTATCTTTTTTCAACATTTAAGTAAAAAGGAAAGCACTTATTGTTGTTATTATTATTTGAAGATGTGCTAGAATTAGTAAAGATATATGAAAACTTTTTGGTAACATGTTGAATTTGTTGTTTTTCTTTTAAATTAAAGCTGAAGTGAATAAGTCATTCCTTGGGCACTCTAAGCATAAGCATAAGCATATTTAAGCAAGATGTGTATAATATTTCATCTTTTTGCTTTTTTTTTTTTTTTAAGAAAAGAAGAAATATTTTTATGCATAGAGATTTTGATTATGATGACAAAGGTAGATCTGCAATTATGGGCATAAACAATTACATAAAAATATTGAAATCTCTGCAACTAATCCTATCCAAATGTATAAATATATTTAATGCAATATTGTAAAATAGCCCATCATCCAATTTTAGGCCTTTCATTTACAAATTTCGCTTTAATAGAGACCCTTTTTGGCATGTTCCCTTTTTTTTTTATTATTATTATTTTAATTTCTTTTGATAATCTTTAATTTGCTTTTAGAGGTGTCCTCCAATCCCTCTACAGAGAAGTCTTTGGGATATGAAGAGTTAAATTAATTAAAGTTTTTTCGTGATACATTATTTTGTTTATGATTTCTGAATTTAACATTGATTAAATGGTTGCATACGAGCTACCTGAGAAATGAAAAGAATTGTTATGTATCTTCCATGGATATCTTGCATACCATAGTTGATTAGATACAGTAACAATTTGAGCTAGTATGCATCACATATATACACACATATATATATATATATATATCGAGAACACACACACACACACACAGAGATAAACAAACTTATATATTTTATTGTGCATATATAATATAATATATACGCACATAATATGCTTATTCTCCTAGTCATATCTGTTGCAGTCTCAACGTCTGAAAGTAAAAGAACTATGGTAAATTTGAGCCAGTATTCGAGTCTTGCACTATTTCTTGCGGGTGATCTACAGGTGGATTTAAATCGCTGCTGTAATTGAAGCTAATAAAATCGGAGAAACCGGGAGAGTCGACAAGATCCGATAAGAAAAAATCATCCATGTTGAAGCAATCCATCATCATGAAATCCGATGTGTCATTTTCTTGGCAACCAAACGACAATAATCCATTGAAATCTCCCTGTTTTCTGACTGTATCCATGAACGGCGTCGTTTGTCCTACTCCATCACTGGTGCTTTGGGAGTTGATCACCACCTTCTTGGTGCACTTGGTCGCTTTGGTGCGTACTATTTTTGAATCCTTATCAAGATTATCATTTGAAGCTGAAACGGCGTTGGATCGAGTTTTTCGTTGTTGAACCTTTTTTCCCAGGTTAGTGTTCCAGTAGTTCTTGATTTCATTGTCTGTTCGCCCTGGAAGCCTCCCAGCAATTAAAGACCATCTAAAATTGGAAACGAGAAAATTCACTACTTATCGGTCGATATCCAAAATAGGAAAGTAATTAGTAGACGACAACCAGTACTACCTGTTACCCAGGAGCTTGTGCAGTCTGATAATGAGTTCTTCCTCGTCGGCTGATATGTTACCTCTCTTAATGTCTGGTCTCAAATAATTCAACCAACGAAGCCTACAACTCTTGCCGCATCTCTTCAAACCTGCAAATTCAATTGAACCCACTTCATATATATACGTATATGTATATATATATGCACACATGCCTGCTGATAGTTTTTTGGCTACCTGCTTGTTTAGGAAGGTTTCTCCACCCGCCTTCGCCGTGGGATTTAATGTAGTCTATGAGGATCTTGTCCTCGTGGGCAGTCCATGCTCCTCTGTTCAAACCCTCCTTTGCACAGCAAGGTCTCCTCCCCATCCCTTCCCCGGTCTCTGCTTCTCTCGATTTATGGGTATATGCTGTATGCTTTGTGGTCATGTTATGCGCGTGTGTATATATACTTACATATCTCCATCACATATATGATATATACAGTAATGAAATATAATATTGTTACTATTAGTGCTGTTATTCATTTGGAATATTCTCGTACGGGTGAGTAGTAGTTACACACTTCCAATCTCCACGTCTAATATTTAATGACATACGTTCAATACAAGTTTACGTCAAGCTGAAAGAAAGAAAAAAAAAATGGGTCCAAAAGTTTGATTATTTTTTATTCATATTTCAACATAATTATTATGTGTACATATATAGTTTACTAAATTCAGTAAATAGTCATGTACACTAATTTGGAAGGTTTTAAATAAAAAGTACAAACAGAAACACCGATAAGAATACAAAGTTACAACAAAAGCATTTTGATTGCATTCGACGAGGGGACCATCAATTGACACGTGTAATTCACTTCTTATGTAATATTTTAGAACCCATTTGACATTATACATTTAATATATCCCACCAGATATTATAACTCACTTCTTGTGTAATATCTAGTTCCATAGAAATTATGTAATTTATATATGTGTTTATATGTATACTTCGGTTATTTATTATAAGTTGTAAGGCCGATAAAATTTGATTAGTTTAGATACAAATGATCAATTAGTTTAAATGAGTTTGCATGATAGTAAAAGAGTTAAATATATTTAAATGTCAAAAATAATATTTAACAATCATTTCCATTAATTATGATCATACAAATTGACAAGACATGTATAACAAATGAGAGTTTTAAAAAAAAAAGAAACTATAGCAAAAGTAATATCAGAAATAAAGTAGATTAATAAATAAATAAAATACATCAAATTTGATTTGCATATAGGTAGAGATATCTTAAAAATGCTATGAATATATGTTTATACATAGAGACAACCATGGTGGCTATGTAGTTCACATGCTTTAATAGGTCGATGTCAAACCTCCTCTTCCCCGCGAAAGGGAGATTTTTAATGTGTGTGTGCTTACATAATGGGTTAATGGGGTTGCATGTTATGTTCTATAAGAAATAGTGAGATGTTATAGGTACGTGTCATCAAGCTTGTTAAGGGGTTTTCCATGAGAGAGTAAGCATAGAAATGGTCAATTTGACACTAATCACTTTATTTTTTAAAAAGATTATGTGGAAACACTTTGTTAATTCAAGTTGATAAGCTTGTGTAATATAATTTATAAAATTGTCGCTAAAGCAGTCTAAAAATTTTAGTCAATTTTCTAATCGATTTGATTCCTAATTTTGAGAATCGAAGGAAAAGCAACTAAGAGTTTTCAAGTTTGAATCGATTTAACCGAAACATTAAACAAACTGAATCAACTTAGTTCATTTGATTTTTTCCTATATTTGATGAGAAACTTGAATTCTGCAATATTTAATAACGCTCATTTAGCCAAACTCGTCAAAAAACAAAAGTAAAAGTAATTGTAAAAGATTGAAAATATTCCTGCTAAGGTTTTGAAGTGAATGAATGGTCAAAGATCGAAAGCAAAAAATGGAGGGCCAGATGTAGAGCACACTGGGATGAAGGACAAATGGACGGTGGAAATTAAAAGATGTCTTTTGATTGAGAACAATTGTAAGAAAAGCTCTATCCAAATCATTATTTTGTGTAGGATTTGACAACTAACAGAAAATTAAAATGTAGAATAAAGGGAGGCCTGTACACTCTAAGCAAAGACATAGAACTAGAAAATGCATGCACCAACCACACCCTACAATTTTAGCACAAAAGACTTGACCACACATCAATGAACAAGCTACTTCATATTCCTACCCTGAATTTTTCAAATAAAATGGATTCGCATGTTTGTGAAATATGCCCCTTAGCAAAACAACAACGTTTACCTCTTCCCAAGAGCATTATTACTATCAATGATGTCTTTGAATTAATATATGTTGATTTTTGAGATCTTATTTCAGTTCAATCTATTTCAAGAGTTTCTTATGTCCTAACTATGGTGGATGATTTCTCTAGAACTTGGACTTTTTTGTTAAAGAAAAAATCAAATGTTTCAAATATCTTAAAACAGTTTTACAATATTGTGTCAAATCAGTTCAAAAAAATCATTAAAATTGTTAGAACAGATAACGGTACTGAATTTGTGAATAAATCATGCAAAGATATTTTTCAAGAAAGAGGCATTGTGCATCACAGAACTTGTGCTTACACGCCACAGCAAAACAGCGTGGTAGAAAGGAAATATAAGCATCTTTTACAGGTTGCTAGAGCACTAATGTTCGAGTCAAATTTGCCAAAAGCTTTTTGAGGAGAATCCATTCTCGTAGCTACATACAAAATAAATATTTTACCAACCTTAGTTTTAAAATAGAAAACCCCCTATGAAGTTTTACACAAAAAACAATCAGATTATTCTGTTTTAAAAACATTCAGTTGTTTGTGTTTTATTACAAATACGCACCCTCAAAAGACAGTTCGAGGCACAAGCTTTAAAATATATTTTTTGGGGTATTAAGTCGGTGTTAAAGCATACAAATTATACGACATTTCAAACAAAAAATTATTCATGTCAAGGGATGTTCTATTTCACGAACATGTCTACTCATATCAATCACAACCACCGCAAACTGACCATCACGATACACCCTTGCTGATACCCAATTTGATCATACCAGATGACAATGAAGACCAACCACATAACAAAAGGGAAGTCACCTTACCTGAACCTAGAATTCAAGAACCAAAAATTCGAAGAAGTACCAAAGTTAGGGTTAGGCCTTCCTGGATGGAGGACTCTGTGGCACACATGACAAAAACACCATCTCCAGACTCCCTTTATTTTATGTCAAACCCACCTGTATACAATCAGAATTACATTAATTTTGTTGCACATGTCTCGATTACACAAGAACCAAAATCATATAAGGTTGCTAAAAAGGACAATAGGTGAATTGAAGCTATGCAAGCCGAACTAGATGCACTAGAAAAAAATAAAACATGGGAACTAACCTTGTTACAAGGCAAGACTCGTCGTCAAAGACTACAACCAAGAATTTAGAATCGACTACCACGATAATTTTTCATCAGTAGCCAAAATGGTAACTGTCCGACTACTCTTTGCCATAGCGACTGCAAATAGCTGGCCTATCCATCAATTGGACATAAATAATGCATATTTACATGGCCACATAGAGGAAGAACTATACCTAAAACCTCTAGAGGGCTACACACAAGCAAGCAAAGGACAAGTCAGTGGCTTAACCCGAAGTCTATACGAGCTAAAGCAAGCAGGACGCCAATGAAATAAAGAACTTACTTCAAAACTCCATTCCATGGGGTTTACCAAATCTGAAGCAGACCATTGTTTATTTACAAAAGGGAGAAAAGAAAATTACTTTGCAATAGTTGTTTATGTCGATGACTTGCTTATCACAAGGCAAGATGAGAAATAAATCAATGAAGTCAAAAGAGCGCTAAATGAGGTTTTTACGGTGAAAGGTCTGGGACAAACACGATACTTCCTTAGCGTTGAAATCGCTAGATCAAAAAGAGAAATTTACATCAGCCAACGAAAATATATAAAAGATATATTACGAGACACAGGCATGCAAGAGATAAAAGGAAGTCACTTCCCTTTACCAACGGGGTTGAAATTAAACAGAGGGTAAAGTCTTACCGAATCCATAAAGATACTGACATTTGATCGGGAGGCTACTTTATCTCAACTTTACCAGACCAGACATCTCTTACTCCACTCAATACTTGAGCCAGTTCATGCAACAACTCAAGAAGCCACATTTAGACGCTACACTCCATCTTGTCAGATACTTAAAACAATACCCAGAGCAAGGTTTGTATTTTTCAAAGGAGAACAACTACAAGATTCGGGCTTTTTGCGACTCGGACTGGGCATCATGCCCGATGACTCGTAAATCCACCATGGACTTCTGTGTCTTCCTCGGGTCATCAATGATATCCTAGAAAACAAAAAAACAAACAACAATCAGTAAATCATCCGCAGAAGCCGGATATAGAAACATGTCTTCAACTGTGTGCGAGCTTCAATGGATTACCTATCTGCTCAAGGACTTCATGGTCACGCCTCCTTTGCCTATCATATTACACTGCGATAACAAAGTCGCAGAGCACATCGCAGCAAACCCTGTGTTTCACGAAAGAATAAAATACCTCGATATAGATTGTCATATTATTCGCAACAAAATCTTAAGTAGTTTTATCAAAACAGAGCATGTTACCTCAAAAGAGCAACTCGCAGACTTACTCACAAAGCCACTAGGCAGAACAGCCCACCATCATCTTCTTTTCAAGATGAAACATATCTAAAGTGGCTTCAAACATTGATTAATTTAAGAGAATGGGTGTTCAAAAAAACTAAACTACAAACCTGTTTCATCTTGAGGGGCGACTGTAAAAGATTGAAAATATTCCTGTTAGGGTTTTGAAGTGAATGAATGGTCAAGATCGAAAGCAGAAAATAGAGGGACAAATGTAGGGCACGCTGGGATGAAGGACAAATTGATGGTAGAAATTAAAAGATGCTTTTTGATTGAGAACAGCCGTAAGAAAGGCAGGTTCTGAAATGTTGTTGGTTTTTGTGTTGTATCTGTTAGGGTTTTTTTTTCTCTCGATCAATGTATTCTTCTCTCTCTCTCTCTCTGTATATAAATGCATGTCTGTGCACCATAAATGAACATACAGAAGAAATATTAAAAAACGCTTTATTACCTTTCTTATTTTTACAATGATTTTACTTTAAAACATTAGTTTTCCACTTTTAGCAAAGATCAAATCCAAAGTTAAAAATTGATATTATTCACAACTCATTTAATGTTCTCCAAGCCTTCATCACAATTTCAATGTAAGATCTCAACTGGGATCAGTCCAGTTATATGATTAGGAACAAGAACAATCAAGCAAACTGGCTTAAGAAGTCCAAGATTATGTAGCTCAGTGGCAGATCATGCTCTTTCAATGAGCCATAGGTGACTGGTGCTTCCTTATTGGTTTCCAAACAAAAAAGTGGTCAAAAGCAAGACTCTAGATTAAGATCAAATCCGGGAAATTGAAAATTTTCAAACTTAACCCTAGAGAAGCTTTGTAACAAATGCATTAAAAACTCATAATCTCTTCTCCGGTTGCTTTAATCAGCCATACAACAAGACCCAACTGAGAAGAAAAGAAAGAGTAGGAACCTGAAGAAGCAAACCGACAAAAAACAAGCTGTAACATAAGGGTATCTTTTGGGATCCCCCAATTTTACACAGATTAGAATTGGGTAGAAATCAGATTACTCAATCTAGATTAGGATATTCCCCCAACCTTGAGCAAATAGAAATGAACAGGTCCAGGTTCCAGAAAACTGAGAAGAAAAGAAAAAGTAGGATTACCCAATCCAAACCCAGTTGTACTTTTAACATTCCAATTGAGTCATGGCAGCCAGTGAATTTGATAATAAAATCCTATTTGTTAAACACCTCTAATTGCTACAGGTTATCTGTAAATATGAATATAACGCACAACACTGAAATCATATTCCACAATCGTCTGCTCCAAAATTACTAATTCCACGGTACAACATTAAAATCATATTCCCACAACAGTCTGCTATTTCCATAGCCAAGCTAACATCAATAGCCATGGAGCATAAATAGTTCACCTGAAAAGCTTCTCGACTGGCTTCACAGGTTAGACATTATTCAAAGATTTAACTCGAGAGAGAGAGAGAGATAGAGAGAGAGAGAAGAAATTACAGGCTCGAAGACTGCGAAGAAGAAGGCACAATAAAGTCAACCACGATAACACTCTCCAGATGATCCCTAACCTTCTCCTTCTGCAGATTTACCAGCTCCTCATTCGATTCCACCGCCTCCATTGCGCCCAAATCCTTAAACGCCGCAATGGAAGCGATAGAAAACCCCTTGGCTCTACCAGGAGAGAAGTTTTCGCCGCAAGTGATTTGAGAGATACCGGGGAAGTTGTGCTTAATCCCTTTGACGACCCCAAAAATCTGCTCTTTCGCTTCATCGGTTACGTTCTCTTTCAATTTCAGGAACGTGATCCTGACAGGGGAACCCGGAGATATACCGACGGGGATGGGGACATGATCGGCAACCCAATCGACGGCCATGACGTCCTCGCAGATAGGCAAGACGGACTCCTTAACCACGGCTAAATGGTTGGGATGTGCGGCGTAGGCGCTGAGATCGTCTTTGGAGGCGTATCGGCTGTGGAGTATGTGGGTGAAGGAGAAAGCGGATGATCTATTACAGAGGATGGGAGAGGCGGTGAGGTGAAGGACGGTGTCGAGGGAAGTGAGGGCAGAAAGGCCACTGAGCATGGCGTTGAGTTTGGCAGGGTCAGTGCCTTGCTTGACATTGAAGAGGACAACGTGCTCGATGGTTTGTGCAGGAGTGGTGGATGACATGGAGACTGAGAGGGTAGAAGGTGAGGATCTGGAAGGGGACCTGGTAAGGAAAGGGAGGTTGAGTTGAGAGAGGCGTTTGGGAGGAGAGAAAGCGAGGAAAAATGAGGAGGAAAAAAGGGGGCGTGCCTTGAGAGAGAGCATCATCGGGTAAGAAGTGGATTTGAAGTTGTAGGGTTGAGGTGACAGTGATACGTGGGATTTATTTGGGCGGGATGGATACATATTGGGCTGGGCAGCAGTTTTGTGTACTAGTATTCAATATATGTATATATATATATATGTGTGTGTGTGTGTGTGTATAGAGCTCACTAAGTAATGCCATCGCTCCCGTTGCTTTGTTACTTGAAACTTATGTCACGGCATTAATAATGTGTTTCTTTATAAAATAAAACTTTAGTTAAAAATCAAATGCTTTTGATTTTCTTTATTGCTGTTAGCTTCTTTCAATTTAGTCCACATGATTAATTATATCTCTAACGGTACAGGCATTGGGCAAACCTCTATAGTTAAGAGATTAGAAGTTTCATGGGTCAGGCTGAGATGAGAGTTGAGTTATCTGGAGGGAACTTGAGGTGAGTTCTATTAATGAAAATAGGATGTGTTGAACCAATATTATGTGGGAAATAATTGAGACTTAAGAAGATGATTAGGCGGTCTTATCTACATTTTGGCCAAATTCCATAAAATACTTACTATTAAGTTGCCTATGGAATGAGATTATGATGTTTACCAAACTATATATATATTTTTAGGAAGTAATTAATGTTAATGAGTCCGTTTCGTTTAATATTAGTATTGACTAAATTGTATTAAGCATATATATATATATATACTTATTACTCATACAATAAGAAAAAATATTTTAAAAATATAACACTATTCACTTTATATTAATGATTAAATTTGAGATTGAATAGAGAAGTTGGCTTTCTTCAAGCTTACGAGATAAACTTTGATGACATGCTACAGATCATATTAACGACCCTGCTTAAAGTAATCTCTTTAGTTATTTCCTTGAATACTAAATCGAGTAATTTATATTTTATAATTATTAACCCATTACTTCAAGTCACGCATGAATAGAGTTTTTTGTCGTTTTGCAAATGGCAAATACATGATCCCATTTTGGTGTATGGAAAGGATGTGGGCACACAAAAACGACATCGTTAGAGCGGTTTTAAAAGATGGGCTGAATTTGTTTCATGGATTGGGGGGTGATATATAGTTTTAAGTTAAATGGATTGAATTAATGATTGGGTGTAAAAGATTTGGGTTTAAGAGAAATCACAAAATGGATTCTATGAAGTAAATTAAAGTGTAGTTGATTAGCAAAATAAAATGTAAATTCAAGGTGCTGTGGAGTAGGTTTTGTACAGAGTTTACACGTTATCTTACTTTTTAGTTTTCGTAAAACATAGTTTACACATTCATTTAAAATAGAAAGAGCATGTCAAATAATATTTTTTTAAAAAAAAAAAATTCAGAAATCGAGTATATTCTTAACGATAATAAAATTATAAAATTTTACAAATTTTTTAAAAAATTTATTATTTCGCAAAAATTATAAAATAAATAAATATATTATAGTATAATCTTTAAATATATATATATATATATATATTTAAATTTTAGCTTTGAATTTATTCAGAGTAAATCAAACTTTCTACAACTTAAAAATAGAATTCGTTTTTAATTTAAAAAATTTTGTAAGATTACAATGATCGAACCTCCAATTTCATATCTCATATTTCTCAATTTATAAAAAACAAAAAATGACCCTATTAGCATTAGAAAGCTATTTGCAAGATTATTAGATACCTTCAAGAATTGTTCTAAACAGTAACTAAATATGTACTTTTTCGCACGATCAAGTTAACAAAAAATCCTATGAAATTTATGACTTATTATCTTTAAATTTAAGTTTCCCTCATCATACAATTTTTTAGGTTGTAGTTTTGGCAGGGATAGAAAGCTTTCATCAAAAGCTTTTGGTGATATATAATTTAATATATAAATTTGTTAAAGTGACAAAGTTTTTTTTTTTATAAAAATAAATAAATTCTAAAAAAAATAGGTACAAAAACTACCGTAACCCCACATATTATCTGTTAATACAAGAGAATTAGTTAATACTAATATCGATTTTAGATTTTTACTACTAAATTTGTATCAAAAAAATAAATATAGGTTTTAGGAGGTTGATATTTATAATAGTTTATTAGAGGGTTATAATATTTTAATATTAATTAATTAATCAATTTTATATTTATTTAGTTATGCATTGTAATATTATTAAATTATTCTCTCTTTAAAAAGAAGTTAAACTTCAATACCAGAGTGATGTTATTGAATAAGGAAGGCTACTGCTCCTCCTCTTTTTTATATCAACAATCTTGATTGACTTTTCACTAAAATAAAATCATCTGTAAGTTGAAAAGTTTTTATCTCTAATACGTGACTAGGAATTTATCGCATATATACAATACATAGAGAGAGAATACACACCCATTTGATGAACTGAGGAAAACCTAAAATTTTACAGAAACGAATTTTCATAAGATCAAGAGAATAGAAAGGTCCAAAACATACCCATTTGGGCCTCTTCCACCTCAATATGCGTCACAAACCCCAAAATGAGTTTAGAAAAGTAAATATATATTTGATTTGTTCTTGTTTATACTTAAATAACACAAATACATTATCCCACATTATTATTTTACATATGAAGATATATGCATTTTTAAAAAAAAACAAACAAAAATCCATGCTAAGTCTACGAGTCAAACAAGATTTGAATACAATTAAAACTAATTATGCCTTTTCTTTTTCGATACTTTTCAAAGTCTAAAAAGCAATAATCACTTGGGTAGGACTGATGTGAAAGACGTATAAATTTATGACCATATTTTAAATAAATAAAAAAAACAAGTAGTAAAAGGTAGGAAAAGAAACATTGTTTGTAGGTTATCTCTAATCTCTAAAGATAACCCATTAATATCCAAACTTAAAAACTAATAAAATTTACACGTGCTTCCGATCCATATGTATATTATAATATAATTATTATAACCAAATGTATTATACAGTTATCATAATATTTAGGGTATTAGTTGAGTTCATCCTCCGTAACAAACTCCAAATTTAAAAAAACAAAAAAAAAAAACACGAAGCATTCGCCATGAATATGTCTCCCATTAACAGAACCAGTTGTGGAGGTTACAGATAATCATTGAAATCATCCGGCTCTTAAAAATACAGCTTTAATTTAATTTCATTATTTAAACCACGAAGAATATTATTGGCTGTGCGTGTCGTGCACGGATTTGAACTGCTCTATTTGATTTTTTCTTTTCTATTTCCTGCTTGTAAATCGCAGAATCCACGAAGCTACTTCGAAAGCGAAATTGTTTTTGTTTTTGTTTTTTTTGTACTATTCAATAATTACATATGTATGTATGTATGTATAGATGATCTTTATAATACTGTATTAATGTGAAAACAACAAGACCCATCTGTTTTATATTTTTAAATAACATGATCAATCAAGAAGCGATTAGAATCACTCGTGTATTTAATTATAGAGACACGGTCCATGCGTGATTCTTCACTTCAATATTCATGCATGAAAATCCTTTCACCTTCATTTTTTCTGCTTTAGAAATTAAATAAAAAGAAGAAGAAGAAGAAGAAGAAGAAGAAGAAGAAGAAGAAGAAGAAGGAGGAGAAGCTCGTCATTTGTCAGATTTAGGTTAAGATTTTCTCATGGTTACATACAAATATACAAATATATATAGGTTTAAACGTTTTAATCTGCACGTCGTGCTCAATGTTGTTTTCAAGATATGACTTGATGGCTCTATTTATTTCAAAACAAAACCCTTATAACCAATTGTCTCTACCTCCATTATTATATGTATTGTGAATATATATACACACACACACACACACACACACACACACACGAATGCATATATGTTGTTTTAGTTCAATTTAGGACCACATGGATACTTCGTTTTCTAAACTCACTGACTTAGTTTCCTCTGCAAGTTTATCATCTTTTAGGTTCAATTACTTGTAACTTTTGTCTCTTTTTGTTGTCTTTAAAATAAAATTACATTGTAATTTATTTCTAAATAGTTAGCTATTTTGAAGCTTTAATATCAAAAGTAAGTTATATATTACTTTAAGATAGACATAAATATCATAAACTTCTAACATTTTCTTCTAAATTGTCAGCATTTGAAAATAATTAAAGTATTTTTATAAAGTTTTAATACTTTGTAAAGTTTAAATTTCATTAATGAGGCGATTGTTTATTAAAATAGATGAAGACAACAAGATTTCCTAAACTTCTTTTCTTTACAAAAAAAAAAACAATAAGAACTGATCTTTAGATCGCATAAGATAATTATATTGATTGTTTCCAGATCTTTCTTCATAATCTTTTAAAAAAAATAATGATGAAACATAAAGAACTATCTCAATTACCAAAATTCTTAATGCTATAATCATTAAAAAGCTAAAAAAAAAAAACAAGAAAAAAAAAAGGTATTAGCTTTTAATTTTACAAGAGATTACCTTATTATATATAAAATAGTTTTTAAAAGTGAAAATCATGCTTGAGAACTTAACTTTTAGTCCTCGACTCAACTATGAGTGGATTATATTTTATCAAAGAGAGGAGTAATGAGAACAAAAATGGTCTCTAAAGAAAGACAATATGTTATATATGTAAGTGCAAATTATATTAGTGTATCAAGCAAAGTACAACATACAAATTGCTTGTTTCACATCAGTTGTGTGTATGTTCTTATTATACGAGGATGAGTTATAACAGACATTTTGAACTTTAAGTTATCAGCTATAACATGCTTGAAGAATCAAAGGACGACCAAGTATAATCTGGAGGTTTTTGCTTGGTTAATCTTAACTATTGTGATTTTCAATCTTAGTGGATGAATTTTTGTAAGATCTAAAACTGTTAGAGAGGTTGAGGATGATGGTGAAGTAGAATCTTCAACATGCTCCTGTAAGAGGTGTTTCAACAAAAAGGCCAATCTTGGATTTTAGTTATTTGAAGTTTATTACCAAAAATGGTTTTGTAAATGCATCAACAAGCTGCTCTTCGATGGTGATACGAGAAATAGTGAAGGATCTAAATGCAAAAATGATCATGGAGAAAGTGATAATCGATGGCTATATGCTTCATTCG